TAGTAGTAGTAGTAGTAGTAGTAGTAGTAGTAGTAGTAGTAGTAGTAGTAGTAGTAGTAGTAGTAGTAGTAGTAGTAGTAGTAGTAGTAGTAGTAGTAGTAGTAGTAGTAGTAGTAGTAGTAGTAGTAGTAGTAGTAGTAGTAGTAGTACTAATAATAATAATAATAATAATAATAATAATAATAATAATAAAGAAAAAGAAGGAGAAGAAGAAGAAGAAGATGAGAACTTTGAGATGGAATATTAATGTAACGATTAAACAATGATAATAACAAATGTCAAGGTTAGAGGTTCCACTAATGGTATATCAAACAAGTATAGTATAAACTCTTATTATTGAATTGGAAACCACACACAAAGGAGGTTCCAATCAGATTATATATTGTTAACATGATTACATTAGTCATCTTATTCAATTAATGCTAATACTTGTAAATCTCGTCAAGCATTCATGATTATAACTTATGTTAACAATAAATCAAGTTCCTTTCATAGCTCAGGTGTCGGTTATACCATACATTATGGGCTATGAAAGTGCCAAGCATTTGTTGTACCAAGTGTTATACAACATAAATCAAGATTAGTCATTTAACAAGCAAAGTATTAAAGAGTGAACAAGATAACAAATATAAAACATGTTAGTATCAAACATTAAAGTCCATATTAAGTTTACATTATACTTATTCTTACACCATTAGTGTAACCTTTTCACCTTGACATAATTAACTTAGCTAGACATAATGAAAGAAAGCAAAATAGATAAACAAAATAAGAACATAAAAGTTAACTAAGTAAAGGAAAGGAAATGAAAGGCATAAACTTAATATTAATGAAAACAAAGCATAAAAAATACAAAGAGAGAAAGGAAGAGCATGATCTTGATCTGAACACCAAGATGCCTAAATGCATGGCAAATGTCTCCTTTTATAGGCCAAAATTGGGAACTATTGATTTGATGACTAATTGATAAGTGGGTGGCCAACTTTTGACTTGGTGACAATCTTTATCTTCTCTTGTCTGCCCAAAACGTCATTGATAACGTCCAAATTGGAGCCAGTTGTAAACATGAAAGTTGTAGGCAATTGTCTCAGCTTTCTTGTGTAAAAACTTCAGCTCATTTGGACTTCTAGAACTCTAGATATGGCCAAAATACCGAACAGTGCTCGGGCTGGAAGACAGATTCGGGCTTCTTTGTTGTTGCTACAATTTGGACTTGATAATGGCCTTTTTAGATCTTGGGCTCCATATGAAAGTTGTAGGCCTATGTCTTACCTTTCCATCCATATAAATTGGACCTAAATCTGAGATCTGTAGCTCTAGATATGACCCAATTACCGAACAGTGTTCCGGTTTGGATTGCTCCGACATCTCTTTTCTAAGTTTGGCCTGCATTAAAAATAGACATTTACCATAAATTATAGGTATCTTATATTATTAGATACATTATTATAAAACATATTTTAGTTAAGGAGTTATTGATATTTGAAGTGCAAAATGATGATATAAAACCATGATAAAAATGCACTTTTAAGTACTAATCACCTATACGGTTTGAAGTAAGCTCCAAGACAGTGGTACAAGAAGTTTGACAATTTCATATGTAGTTCGGGATACTCAAGATGTCAGGCTAATCATTGTTGCTATGTCAAATATTTTGACAACTCCTTCATCATTCTACTATTATATGTGGATGATATGTTGATTGCAAGATCCAGCATTGAAGAGATTGACAAGTTGAAACAACAGTTGTCAAAATAGTTTGAAATGAAGGATCTGAGAGCTGCTAAACAAATACTTGGCATGAGAATCATTAGAGATAAAGATAAAGGTATACTAAAGCTTTCACAAATAAAGTATGTCAAGAAGGTTCTCAGTAGGGTTAGTATGGATAATGCTAAACCAGTAAGTACACCTCTAGGGAATCATTTCAATCTCAGCAAATACGAGTCACCAAAAACTAAGCTAGAATGTGGATACATAAATAAGATTTCATACGCCTCAGCTATTGGCTCTTTGATGTATGCTATAGTCTGTACCAGACTAGACATTACCCATACAGTGAGAGTTGTAAGTCGATATATGAGCAATCCTGGAAAGCAGCATTGGAAGGCGCTAAAATGGATCATGAGGTACTTAAAAGATTCCTCGAAAACTTGTCTCAGTTTCACAGTTGATGGTTTGAAACTTGAAGGTTTTATAGACACTAATCTAGCAGGAGATGTTGATAGCAAAAAGAGCACTAAAGGATATGTATACACTCTAGGAGACACTGCTATGTCCTAGAGTTCTGCCTTGTAAAATATCGTTGCTCTTTCAACAACAGAAGCTGAATATGTTGCAGTTTCAGAATCTGCAAAAGAGATCATATAGTTGCAGAGTTTCCTGAAAGAATTGGACAAGATGAATGGAAAGGAAACTCTGTATAGCGACAGTTATAGTGCAATCTTCCTTGTCAAAAACCCAACATTTCACTCCTGGACTAAGCACATTTAGATCAAATATCACTTCATCCGATAATTGCTAGATGATGAGCAATTGATGCTAGAAAATATCTATGGAAGCAAGAATCCAGCTAACATGTTAACTAAAGGAGTTACACTTGATAAATTGAAGTTGTGTAAAACTTCAGTTAGCCTTCAAGGATAAAAGATAATTTCATTGTTTGTCTCCAAGTAAGAGATTGTTAGCAATATGGAGACAAGCAATGCCCCACCTTCACTATGTGTTTAATGGGAATACCTACTCTCCATTTAGCATAAAGTGGAGGCAAACAGTGGGCACAAATCATGGCATGATTTATGCCCTTCACTCCTAGCTTAGTATATATATATACTAGTCAAGAGTTGTGGGTTAAGAGTGAAAAAACACAGAGAGAACCATGAGAGAACAATAGAGAGAACTTGAGTGAGTAGAGTTGAGTAGAGAAGAGTTTTCTCCTCCTCCTTATTTGTATTGTTTCTTTGAGTGATTAATACAAACTAGTAGCTTCATGGAGTAGGCAAGTTGTCAAACCACGTAAATTTATGTGTGTTTGATTGTTTAAATGACCCAACAAGCTTCACGCCCCCAGAATCTGGAAAGGTATCACAGCACCTTGATGACTCTACATTACATTATCCCTCATGAGATTATTCAGTGTATGCAATACTACAAAATTAAAGTACAGACTCTCAACAAGAAAGGAGGCAATATAAATTGGTGATCCTGGAATAATTTAAAAACCCATTAGGTCCTTTAAGTTTCTTATTGATTCAGAAAATTGGATCAATTTGACAGGGGGGTATATGATGATCCCTTCTATGTAACGCATTGATAAATCAAGTAAACGTTTTACTTGGAATGGCCAGAATTCTTAGGATCAATTGATTATTTGATCCCTGCCATTGGATCAATTGTATGAGAGGATTCGGCGGTGCCTGTGGTGGCATGTTTATAAACATGGCAATAGAGATTATTTATTGCCAACAAGAATCATAGACTAGGTCTTCTAGGAAATTCAAAAGCATTTTTAATAATGTAGGGTCCTAAAGTCGCGTTCAATGGTGACGATACCTCGCAAACCATGTGCTACTGAGGATGAGTAATCTTTCGGTAAAAATCAACCACAAGCTCAATCAAATCCATTTTTTTATTCTCCTGCGGATCCTCGAGCACATCTTATACTTGTTTTCCATTAATAGAATTATCTTACATTTTCATCGATCCATCCCGGAGATGATACCACAATTCTAAGCAATACACACAAGTAAATAGCTCTGGTTTTCTCATAACAATTTACTGATCATGAGACGGAGACAAAGTGAGAGGTAGTGAGGATATGAAAGCTCATCTAATCTCATTCAACGAGAAATACAATTACATAGATTACGACATAATACAACAAAACACACCACATAAACAATACAACAAAAATCTGTTCAGTGAGTTTTGTCCCTTAAAAGGCGCCTCACCATGAAAGAGGTGTCTTTGGTACCATATAAGCAACCAAGACCTTTGTCTTCTAACCGATATAGGATAATAGTCTCATCGGAGCCCTCCAGACGAGAGGCTTGGATAGAGTACATGACTTATTCTTATAGATGATGTCAATTGATGAGGTGTATTTATATCCGCAGCATGATAAGCCCAACATGAGATATTATTCCACATGATTTTTTTATATTCCGTAAATTTTTTATGTTCCGTAGAAGGCACATTGCAATGAGAGAAGTGTTCTTGGTACAATATAAGCAATCAAGACCCTCGTTTCCTAATCGAGGATAATGGCCTCATCTGTAATCATTTAGCAACCTTCCTTGACGAAGCAATGGAGTACCTAGACTTGCTAGCTGAAAATGCGTAAAATTATGACACTATAAATATTTATGAGGTACCAGGTAAGACTCACCCTTATACATCTAGTGGAGGTATGTACAACCTTAGGGAAGATCATGACTTCCAAGCCAAATTTGCATCTTTAGCTAGAAAAGTTGAGGCACTAGAATT